GTGTGTATATGTGTGTGTATATGTGTGTGTGTGTGTGTGTGTGTGTGTGTGTGTGTATGTATGTATGTATATGTATGTGTGTGTGTATATTTATTTATATGTATGTATGTATGTATTTATATATACTTATATTAATTTATTTTTCAAAAACATGCATCAACCCAAACTCAACCCAGATTTTTTCAACTTCCATCTTCTTCTGGAAGCAATCCATGCTTTCACACTGTTGAGCTACTGCTGCATCAGTCCAAACTAACATGCTTGGAATGTGCAAGCTTTGGATATTCTGCCTCTTAGACAGATCGTATTTTTGCAGACTCCTCCAGATGAGTGTTGAAACACAGCAAACCACACAGTGCTTGGACTCTGAGCACTCCAAAAGGTTGCTCCTTCGACTCATAAAATAGCTCTTTACAACAAAACCATTCAGGATCAGAATTAGGGGCAACCTCTGACAGAGTCCACACCTGAAACATCTCACCCAAGCCTGATTCTTACTCACCACTTGGGCACAAGCAGGAGGGCATGGACACCCTCAGCTCAATCCATTTAAGAGGGATCAAATTTTGGTGGCTGCAAATACTGTTAGAATAACCTAAAGAAAAGGGGCATCTTTATAACCTAGACAACCCTCTGAAAAAGCGTTATAGAAAACGTGAGTGAAAATTTTAACACGAATATAGATTCTAGACTAAAATATTCATGAGCATATTTTATAACAACACATTTTAATATCACATCCAATCCTCATCTTACAGTCAGAACTGTTTTCACAAGCCTCAACTAAAATGTTAATGATTCATGTTTTTCTGCACTTATGGTAAACACTGTAAATCATTGCATAAGTTGGTCAGTCATATGAAAGTGCTGCCAGTGAGCATTAGAAAACCAGCCGTGCTGTGTGATAACAGCTGAATGTGGGAGTTTAGGTCAGTAACATTTCACTAGTCTGCATTCGCCAGCGCTCCAGAGACGGAGGCGTACTCACTTTCTTCAGAGCTCTCGACGCTGCTCACGCTGTCTGCAGGCGCCAGCCCGTGTTTCTGCAGGTGCCTGCGGATGCTGAATCGGGTCTTCTTGGTCTTCCCCTGTCCTTTTAGTTTCGGCTGGTCCGCTGTGTCAACATGCAAACTTTTGCCATTAGTGTGCACCATGCTGGGTCCATTTGATTGAGAGGCCATAGCAGGAGAGCCTTCAGAAGCTTTCTGTGACACATAGTAGGACAACAAGTAAGTACTTCCTATATTCGATTGTGAATTCATAAAAGATTTAATGTCTAAAACGAACAGGACATTCAGAATGGAATGGTGTTATTGTAAATTAAAACTAATAAAAAAACTATTAAAATTAAAATATTAAAATATAATATTAGATGAAAAATGTAAACTAAAAAAAAAAATATATATATATATATATATATATATATATATATATATATAATTTTTTTTTAGAAAGGTTGCTTTGGCAAATAACAAATGAGTTTAAGAACTAAAATTACTAAAACCAAAACTGAATGAAAATTAAATGAAAACTGAAAATATAAAAATTAAAGCTAATTTAAAATATTAATAGGGATATAATAGTATATAAATAACACTGCCAGTATGTCATAAAACCAAAATATGAGATGTCCCAAACCTCTGCAGACACAGGAAGAGTCCTGGTAACACTTCCTATGTCGGTCAGCCGATGCTCCAGATCATCCCAGCGCCCGTACGCCAGATCAATGCCTCCCACGAAAGCCACCGATTGGTCAATGACTACAATCTTCTCATGATGCGCCCACAGGTACACGGAAGAGGAGACGTGATCAGGATGCCTCATCACCTGAGAAAAGAAGATTGTTAGAAAAAGTCTTTCCTTCTCTTTGTTTCTTTGGTGTGGCGTAGTGGTTAAAGATTGTGAAATGGTCACAAATGCAACAAACAAACAAAAAAACATTTTGCAACAAAAATCTAGTCATAGTTAGACAGAGTCAAGAAAGTCCATATGCAGTTCTGTCAGATTTCATCTTGTTAGAGTTTGCACCAGGTGTATCCTTATGAAGCAGAGTCAGTCAAATGAATTCATTACACAGCTTTGAATTCACTCGGTTTGAATCTGTTTGAATATAAGTACAATGTAAAAACATATGTACACAATAAGTGCACTGTATCGAATGTTTAATTAAAATGCAAGTACACAGTAGTTAAGGACGATTAATATAAAGTGGGTCCATTAATGGTTTTCTAAAAAAATATCGAAATATTTTACGAATATATTATTGGTTATTATTGGCATATGAGGTCCAATTTTACTTTTTTCACACAAGAAATTCTCTAATTTGTCAACTAAAGTCTCCTATAGGATTCATTTTAATAGTCAATGACCTGTCGGTAATCAAACGGCTGTAGGTCTGAGCTTCATGAGGGCTGATTCATGAACTCACTACTTTCATCTCACCTTGATATTTGGGTGAAGTTGGTGTAGTGTCCGTTTGCTGTATTCGCTGTTTATGCCGAGAGCCAATTCCACCTCCTTGTACAACATCACAAAGATCCGCACACCTTTTTGCTGCAAGAACAAACAGTTCTTGATAATCAGTACAGCAAATCCGCCAGCCAATATTAATATATTACTAAGAAAACAGAAAACACCCTGAAGTGTAAATTATTACATGAGAACAGTGAATGAGAAGGTTTTACTGCTGGTGCAGTAAAGCCACAGATGGATAGCAGTTTCATCACAGCTATTGGTTGGATTAACTCACCGCTTTCCGTTTCAAAATGGAATCGAGTCTCCAGCGATTGCCCTCGACGACTGGCCTCTTGAGGAAGATCTCAGGGCTCAGCCTGCCGTGACACACAGAGACCTCATCAGCAGGGGAAGCATTTGTAACATCAAATATGCATCAACGTCTAGTCTCACAGCTCACTGTCACCTACATAAATTCAAACTTATTAAGCTAGGGAAAAAAGCACACATACACACTCGAATCTCACACTTGCAGGATGTCTGCTGCGATGACTGAGTGATGCTGTAACACAGCACCCAGGCATCTGTCTGATAAAGGTAACGGATCCGTTTGGCTCCCAGCTGGAGGTGCCCTCTGAGAGGGTGCGTACAAAGTACAGTATACAACTATCTTTCTTTGCTTCTCTTTTTTCTACTACATTTCTTTGGGCTTTTCTCTCAGTTCATGACCTAACTGTTATGACAGGACAAAGCAATAAGCAAACCATCTCTTCCATCCTAGTTCTCACACTTTCCATTCAGTTCTTCAGTCATATATGGTTACTGGATAAGGATATTTTTACAATTAAATTAAATTAAATTAAATTCCAAAATTAATAAAGTATTAAAAAAAAAATGCAAACACAGGAAGAGTCATGGTAACACTTCCTATCCTAAATATATATTTTTATATGTATATATATATTCATTCATCATAT